TTAGGAAAGTTCTTAACACAATTAAAAATTGCAAATAGCCGAAACCGGTTTGGCTCAGTGGATAGAGTAAGTTCTTAACACAATTAAAAATTGCAAATAAAATAATTTTTAAGTGGACAAAAACTTGAAAGAAATTTCTCCAAAGATATACAAATGGCCAATAAGGACACGAAGAGATGCTCAACACCATTGGCCATCAGGTAAATGCGATTCAAAACCACAATGAAATACCACTTTCCATCCATTACAGTGGCTATCATCAAAGGACAGATAATAACAGGTATTGGTGAGGATGAGAAGAAATTGGGACGCTCACACCTTGCTGGTGGAAATATAAAATGGGGTGGCTGCTTTGGAAAAATCTGGTAATTCCTCAAAAAGTGAAACACAGATTTACCATGACTCAACAACTCTACTTCTAGGTATATACCCAAGAGAAGTGATAACATATGTTCACACAAAACTGTGAACAGCAGCATTATTCCTAATAGCCAAAAACTATAAGCAACCCAAACAACCAAATGATAAATACTAACTAATAAATGGATAAACAAAATGCAGTAAGTATATCCATACAGTGGAATATGTTCAACCCTAAAAAAAGAATGGAGTAACTAATACATGCTAAAGCATGGAAAACATTATGCTGTGTGAAAGAAGCCAGACACAAAAGACCACATGTTCTATGATTCCCATCATAGAAAATGCCCAGAACAGGCAAATATAAAGTGACAAGAAATAGATGAGTAGTGGCCAGGGCTGGAAGAAGGGGAGCATGGAGAGTGACTGTTAAAGAGCATAGGATTCCTGCTGGAGATGATAAAAATATTCTGTAATTAAACAATGATGATATTATGTTAGACAAATGGTTTCTGTTGCTTGGTGTGAACAAGGCCATCTTAAGCAGCAAGCTGCTCACCCAGAGAGGGGTGAGCCTATATCACCTGAAAGGAATGTTCTTACAAAACAGGTCCATTGAACTGTCACTGCCTTGGAATACACAGCTCTTAACCACAAGCCACCTGTGTTCCTGGAAGCTCTCTATATCAAGGTTCCAGCCCTTTCGTGCAATAAATGGAGATAGATGCACATTCTTGCTGGCGTCCAACACCCTGCTATGCCCTGCCTTCCCTCACTTGGTTGTAATTTTGGAGTTTCCTGCCTCTGTCTTTGGTCTCTAGGCACTGTCCTCCAGGAGGGCTCCACCTCAGGAAATTTTCCGAATGTGATTGTAAAATGTAAATGTACTGACAACCAGTGAATTGTACTTCTGAAAATGGTGAATTTTATGGTTTGTAAATTATATCAATAAAAATACTAGAAGGAATGAAAGGAAAAGAAAAAAAGGAAAAGGAGAAGGGGCCAAATGGGGAGAAAAGAGGATTTAGAGGAGAAAAGAAAATGAGGAGGAAAAGAAAGAAAAAGAATTTAGACCAATCCCTACTCAAATCATATTTCCACATTTAGGGTAAAGACAGAACTGGTAAATGGCAGAATACTATTAGGTCTAGGGAAGATTCTAAATTTTGGCTTTTCCTATCAAGTTATGCAGGGTTCTCATTTCTATTTACTTCTAGTACGAACCATTCCACAGAGTATTACATGAGATGCAAATTAGAAAGAGCCGAAATGACAGGTACACTGTGTCATGAAAAGAAATAGTAAGGAAGAAATAAGGTTTTTTAAATTTAAACAGTCAACAACAACAAAAATTTAAGCAGGCATAGTAACAACAAAAACACATAGGATAAGTTTAAGGTAAATGTTGCAATCCAATACTATGTATCAAAATAAATATTTAAAAATAACATCCTTTAACCCTGCAATTCCTCTTTGGCATCTGACAATTACGTAGAAATATTCATTACCATTTCTTTATAACAGAAAAAAAAGGAACCACTTAAATATTCATCAGAGAAACAAGTAAATAGTATAGTGTATAAACTACAATACTTGCTAGCCATTTATCTATTACTTGACAATGGGAAGACATCTACAATGTGCTGAAGATCCCAGTTACTAAACAGCATGTAAAATATTCTATTTTGTAAAATGTTACTTACTTATGGAAATTAAATATCTCTGGAAGGACATATACTCATTTCTCAATGACAGAATTTTGAGTTGAATTAATGATTATTTCACCTGATAGGCATTGGATAAACTAAGAACATTTTTGTGAAAATGTGAACTAAATACTGTAAAATCACTATAATGGTAGCTATTAATTCAATAAACCAAAGGTTGGGTAATCATATAATTTATCTAACAAACTGGGGCACTTCTGAGAATGCAAGGAGACCACATAAAGAATTACGCTAGCCGAAACCGGTTTGGCTCAGTGGATAGAGCGTCGACCTGCGGACTGAAGGGTCCCGGGTTCGATTCCGGTCAAGGGCATGTGCCTGGGTTGCGGGCACAGCCCCAGTGGGAGATGTGCAGGAGGCAGCTGATCGATGTTTCTCTCTCATCGATGTTTCTAACTCTCTATCCCTCTCCCTTCCTCTCTGTAAAAAATCAATAAAATATTAGAGAAAAAAAAAGAATTACGCTGGACACAGGTAAAAATTGAGACTAACCTGAGCAAATTAAGACAAAGTCACCCTACTCAAAGGTTACTAGAATTACAAACCACGGAATAAGAATCCAGTTACATATGTTGAGTTTAATGGGGAAAAGTCATGGGGTTATCTCAAAGTGATATATCACAAGGTAGTTCTAGCTGAGTCTCAGAGTTCTTGATCCCAGTGGTTCACAGCCAGTGATGTCAATCAGCACTATCCAGCGAGCTTTTCCAAACTTACCATTCCTGGACCCTTCCCCTGAGATTCTGCTTCAGTAGATCTATAATGGGGTCCAAGAAGCTGTTTTGGTTTGTTGGGTGGTTTCTTTTCATTCTACAGTAATTATACATATGCTGTGATGGTTAACTTTGTATGTCAATTTGACCAGGCTAAGGGAAGCCCAGAGCTGGTAAAACATTATGCCTGGGTGTTTCCAGAAGAGATAAGCAGTTGAATCAGTGGACTGAGTGAAGAATGCCCTCTCCAATGCTGGGGGCTGAACAGAATGAAAGGCAAAGGAAGGACACGTAGGCTCTTCTCGCTTGACTGCCCTGGGACAATGCCGCTCCTGTTTCTTTGATTCTCAGGACTTCGAACTTCAGGTTTAGACTAGAACTACACCACTGGCTCCCCTGGTGTAGACAGAAGACTGTGGGACTGCTCAGCCTCCACCTGAGGCAATCCCTCATGATAAATCTTTCTATGTATCTAGATATATCCGTTTGGTTTTGTTTCTCTGAAAGGCCCTGACTAATAAATGCCCCAATGACAGAATACTAGGTCTAGGTATTCTGCCAGTAAGATGCATGTCTAACTTTAACCTGCATATGAATCGCCTGAGAATGTTATTAAAATGAAATTTTATTCAGTAAATGTGAGGTGGGATGTTTCTAATAAGCTACCGGGTGGTACAGATGTTCTGGGTCCTGGTTGCTGGGCCACACGGTCTGGCGTAGCATGGTGTCTTTTAAGTACTTAAAACTCAAGGCTACATTTTACCCACCTGCTTATTCCCCAAAGTGACCAAATATTTAAATAACTAAAAAACACAATCTATTTTCAGATGAGCATTACTTAACATTAATCCAAGAAGGAGGTCATACTTAATTTACCAGTAAGCTTAAAAATTCAATTTTTAATATCTAAAACGTGGAATAATTACAACTTAATAAACTAAACAATAAGGAGTACTGAAAATATGTAGAAATTTGAGTAATTTAAACACATTTTAAAATTGGGACATAAAGAGAAAATTGTATCTGGTGATAGACAGTTTCAATAAAAAGTAATTTTTCTGTCTCTAAGACAAACAAAATGGATTATCACCCAGACCCTAAATCATGAAAGGGGAATGTTTCTACCCAATGTTGGCTCAAATTTCCCATTTTATATCATACTAAAACTGTCCCATAAGCAATATAAATATTTCATAAGTAGCTAACTAAGAGTACAGTAATCAATACACTTCATTATGCAAATGTAAGCTGAAACATTTTGGGGACCCAGCTGCTCATATTTACAATTAAATTTAAGTAGGAAAAGCAAAAGAATGTTTCTTTATTTAAGAAGTTCATGATGCCAGACAACTTGTCTCAAAGTTTCACTTCTATTTGTTAACCAAACAAGCCTCAAACTTTCAAATCCATGTTGAAATGAAACCTATACAAATGTCATTGCAAAAATAAATAGCCTGAGGCAATAAATGACATAAGTTGGAGCTATCAATCTTAAGTATAAACCTTGACCTTAGCAAGTACTATGTCATACTTATCTTTGTATTCGTGTGCTAAACAGACTTGGATATAAGAATAAAACTTCCTAATCTCTCTACCTCTCCCAAGATTTATAGCCCGGTAGTGAACTAGGTTAGTTATCCTGGTTATTACTTTCAGGCTCATTACAACTATATTAAGAGAGTAATTAGTAGCACTTATCCATAAAAATCCAATTATGTTAATTGCAGAGGGAGGGTTTCTTATTCATATAACTCAGAGCTCCATGAGGACTGATCACTGCTGTAAGCCTCAGCTCCTAGCAGGGCACCAATCATTATTGGTAGGTTAGGTGGTTGAAGAAATGAATAAATGGATGAATGGTGTCTAAAACATAGTAGATACCCAAAAAATATTCACTGAATTAAGAGCTTGTTTTTCTAATTTATCATTACATGAAACACTATGTAATATAAATCCTACATTAAAGTATACATTGCAAACTCCATTTACATCAATAAAGCTCACCTCTATGAGATGTGCTGTGTCACCAGTAGTATCTTAGGTGGCTGTGACTGACAATTAAATTGGTGTTCCTTTACATTCTCAGTATAGTTTCCCTTCTGCATCTTTGCAGTGCCAGAGATGGCTCAGTGTTCTAGAACATGAATTTGCTCTCTCTTTCATTAATTCACCTCAAAAAAAAAAAAATTAAAAGCCTCACCATTACTAGGTGTCTCTGGGGCCTGCTTTGCAGGGTTCCCCTGGTCTTCCTTTTCTTCAGGATCGTCACTGGACTTTGACAGCCGTTTTCTTAGAGACATCTCTTCGCCCACCATTGTGTTATCTAGGAAAGAAGATGCAAAAAGTTATGAACCAAGTATCTGGTTTAGGCAAATTTCACAATATTCAGAGGTAAAAGACTGGTATATTCTCTCCCTTTTGTTTTACTTTGATCATGTTTAAGCATTTTCTGAGTACAACATACTATAACAAATGTGAAGAAATTAGTCCCTATAAAGTAACTGGCTGGTTTCAAAGGCTCTTATTTAAACAGAGCCCTCATTCTTAAAGAACATTTTAACTGAACAAACAAGGCATAAGTATATGAAAAATCAAGAATTCAATAATAAAAGGTATGTACAAAGATGCCGCAAGGTAGAGTACGATGAATAGTCAAGTCAATGGTGAAAACAATAATATCTGAAGGTCAGAGACAGAAGAGAGCATTAAAAGATGTAAAGGTTTCACAGAATAGAAGGTATCTGGACGTAGTCTTGAAGGAGGAGAACAGGGCACTCATGGGTAAGAAAGGGTTAAAACAAGGAGCCCTGTTCAAGAGATCACAACAGACCACTTTACAAGAGGACAAGAAACAAGCTTTTGTTGAGTATCTATAAAGTGCAGGGACTCTATGTGCTTTCCGTTTTCCCATCTAACCTTCATAACAACTCTGCAAAACAGATGGCGTTACTCCTGGTTTCCATATGAGAGAAAAATAAGGCTCAAAGTACTTACTGTCAATACCTTCCACCCCCACACCAGTTGCACAAGTTGGGTTTATTAGGAACACACACCATGGGAAACTGTGGGGTGACTCAGTAAGGGGGTATTAGAACTGACTTACTTAGGATTTGGAACTTGGCTAGGTGATTTTGGGTGAGAGTACAAAGAAGCAGAGGTTCACTGTTCCGTGGGTGCTGTCAGAAAGCCGAGACAATGCTATGACTGGGTTTTTCAACACATCTCTATAGGAAGGCTCCCTAGAAGGAAGATAAAGCTGGAATTGATAAAGCAGAAACCCTAACTGATGTTAGTCTGGGGAGGAGGACGCTGGAAATGTTGTGACTTGGACAATGACCATGTTTTGTTTGTGTTCAGACATGATGATGGCATGGACTTGTTTTTGTCTTGACCCATCGTGGTCACAGAATGGCCTTTTCTGATGCTGACGGTCACTGAAATTGTTTTCAACGGAACACTGAGAACCAGCTCTAAGCGCCGGGCTAGCTCGCAGCATCACCGAGGCCTAGCTGACAGCCCCATGCAGCTCTCGGGTGCCGAGGGCTGCTTTCCTCCTTCTCATTACAGTAACCTGTGGAGACCAAACAGCTAATGACAGGGTCAGATTTGAATCCGGGTCCAATTCAAACAACATTCAATTTTTTTTAAAGTTGATAAAAGAGAAATATGACTAGAGGAAAGACTAGAAAAGAGAGCTGGAATCAAATTGTAAAGGCCTAAGAAATTAGGATTTTTTTTCTTTCTTTCTGTTAGGCAGTGGTGAGCCATTTTAAGCACTGGAAAATATGATCAAAGTCAAAGTTTGGACAGATCATTGTCAAGACAGAATAAGGCTTACTCCAAAGCAGTGTTTATTATCTATTACATTTTCATTAATCTGAAGCAAAAAGAAAAATAATGAAGTACTCACTACATTAGTTTTCAAGCTACATATTTTTAAATTTTAAGATTACCATCTTTCTAAACTTTTAGGTTAAAATGTTCTTTTCTGTATGAAATGTAGTACATGGGAGTTTGATTATTTTCTTAAATATCACTGCTTGCCAAAGTAAAGATCTGACAAATGTAGATCAGTCCCCTTCCAGTATTTTCTGAAACTGAACAAATGAAACCATTAAGGAAGGGTAGGTGGATGTGTCACGTAGAAATTTTAGGAGGCCAATTAGATCTCATTGAGAGGAACCTAGGAAAGAGGTCGGGGCAACTGACACATCTGAAAGTCATCTGTGTGACAGTGACAGAGGAAGCCAGAAGAGCTTCTAGTTCTCCAACAGAAAAGATCAGAGAAGTGAGGACAACTAAACTCTGAAAGATGTCCGACACATCTTGAAGTATCACATCAAGTAGAGAAGAAATCAGGGAAGGAAACCATAGAGATTGAGAGATGCAAAAAGAACCCAGATGTGTAAAAAAGGAATTACACAGGGGATAAAGTGGATTAAAAACAGACTCTACTTGTGAGTGTTTATGTGCCTTACTATACATGTATGACGTATTTTAATTTCAATATAATCTTTAAAGTCACTACTATTACTTTATTCCTCAAATGTCTTTGGTCACCATGTCTTCTATTACCCTCTTTCCTGTCTTTAGAAAGCCCATTCTCCTCTGCCTTTCTCTATCTAGCTAACCCTACACACCCTTAAAGGTAAGAGTCACAGCCGCAGCAGCAGGAACAGCAGTAGGAACAACTGCAGCTTTGACTTAATGAGCAGCTATTATGTACCTACCATGTGCTGCTGAGTCCTTTCCATTTTCTTATCAAATCTTTACAAAGTTAGAAAGTAGGTATTATCTTGATTTTACAGATGAGAAAAATATTGTTAGGGAAGTGATTTAACTTGCCCTAAGTCATATGATTCTCTAACAGCAGAACTGGGATTCAAAACCAGAACTACCGGATTCCACAGCCTATCCTGTAATCACCAGACCTGTGTCCTCTGCTAAGGTTCCTTTGACCACCACCAGTCATCTCACTGTGACTAAGACCTTACTACTATATTCAGAGAACAATGCTGTCTCCCTCTTACACTAGCATAAGCTCTTCAAAGATAGGGACTACATGGTATTTACTCTTTGAATCCCCCAAATCTAGTGGGGAGTCCCTGGAGCATGGCAGGCATGCATTATACAGAAAGTGGATGCATCAGTTATAACACAATCCATTATCCTAACTAAAAGGATACAATGCTCTAAGAGAATCAAGAGGAAAATATATGCTAGGAGGAAGCCAGTAAGCATCATCTTTACTGTTAACACCTTTACACATCCTACTCCAAAATAAGATCTCCAACTGCTCTTAATTGGGGGGTGGAGGGTCCCTGGGACTCTTAAAGGTATGCAAAAACTATTTCAATAATGAAAAAAATAATTATACATTTGTCACATAAAACAATACGGGCTAACAAAAACAATGTCACTTTGCTTTTAGCTGACACTATCAACTCAGTGAGAAATCAGTTCTCATGTTGATTAAAAGCACTTATTAAGAGGTGAAAAAATACTTAATAAACCAAGTTTGACAAATAAATGATGTCTAATAGACCAAAAAAAAAGTTAAGCCTGGATACCCTGTAGAAAAAGACCGTTGTCGTGAAATTAGGAACCATCAGCCTCATCTAAAGAACAAAGTCTTACATCAAAAGCTAAAACACCATCACACTGCCATAATTCCACCTACTTATTTTAGAAGTGAGCCAAAGAAGAAAATGCTAACATCAAAACAAAACCTTTTTATCAGAGTCTATACTAATGCCGTTGGCCTCAAATTCCTCTATTAGCAGGAAGTGAGAACTGTAACAGTGGAAAAACATAGGATTTGGTATCAGAATACGGTAGTTTACGTCTTTGCTTCATCTTATCATTATGCACTTGGGTAAATCTTCCAACCTCTCTCAATCTGTTTCTTCATCTAGAAAATTAATATAAATGCTACTACAGTTTATCATCATAAAAAAGTATGATAATATGCACTAAAGTGCCAACATTTTATTAACAACCAAGTGAAAAGAATTAAGTAATCTGATATCTACACACGTACCTCCTGTATGCTAAATGACACAGTCAAACATTAAGCCATGTCATTCTCAAATTCTACTTGTTTGCTTTATGATGTATTAGATGAGGGTAAATAAAGTGCCATAATTACATACTTCCTCAAGTGCAGCTCAAAGATCATGTGGTTTTCAAGGTAATATTAACATTTTATTATTGTCATACATACAGATGTTAGGAAGGATAACTATTACTTAAAATGGCTCACCTCAATTCTGACCAAATCCTTAGATCACGTAGATGGTAAAAGTATGAGATGATGTCTAAATTGAGTTCCTCCTGCCATGCATGTCAGCTAACAGTATATAGCTGTTACAGCAAAAAATGGAGGCAAATTATAGTAATGCTCAGCTCAATTGTTCCTTCTCTAGACAGATGGATCATTTTGGCCTCTGTATGGAGAGCAGACCACACTGAGGTCAAGAGTGCAAGCAAAGGGCCAGTGAGCAGACACTGCATTCACCCAGGTGAGGGATGAAAGAGAGAACCACTCACCTAAAATAGAACTGAATGATCCCTTACCAATCTAGACAGTAGCTAGGCAAACAACTTGAGCTGTTGCAAAGTCAAAAATTCAAACTGTAATTAATGCTACACGGTTTTTAAGTGCTAAGATGGACCATTGATCTTATGTGAGGTGTACCATAGTGTTTTCTTGCCCTCCCATTAACACAGCACCTGGAAGGGGAGTTTATCCTCCTTGTGTCCTATCATCTCCAGGTCACCTTTCTCCTCCCAGGTCAGCCAGATTATCACAACTGATACCTCTCCTGTTGCAAGTATGTGCTGTCTTCCTGACCACTCCCCTCATTCACTGAAGAGGTGAACACCTCACTCACTCCCCATCCTCTCACTAATTTTCCATACTTCATCACCCATGTACACAGATCCATCCAATACCCTGTCTTTCAATCTCAACTTCTTTTCTCCAACAAGCTGTTCCTATGTCCCAGCAGTTACACCTTCCCCTAGAACTTCCTGTCACCAATAACTGCTCCATGTCCATAATTCTGATTTCCAGCGTCTAACCCTCTGAACACTTCACTTACTCTGATACCTCCACACCAATTCTTTAATTCCCTTCTCCACATACCAGTCCACATTTCTCTGAGCTCCAGGCTCATATCCAAAGGCCTATTTCAAGTAGATGTCTCATGGGCATCGCATAACATGATCAAAACTGCATTTCTGATATTCCCTCCAATTCCATTCTTCTTACTGCCTTCCCCATCTCAGTTAATGGGACTAACAGTGAATCTTTGCCCGGAT